GTCAATTCAATGAAAATGCAAACACTATTCATGTCATTCAAAGGCGATGACTATGCCGAACAATCATTTAACAGCGTCCTTACCAAAAAGTTCTATACTCGTTTTGAATCTTGAGGCATTTTAACCAATGGCCATTGGATGCACCTGGCTCCAGAGGCTGAACTTCACAGCAGAAAGCCTGGACCAAGAAATATGTGGACTTTCATTCACAGTTAGCGCGAACACAGATTTTGTCAGATGTTCAGAAATGGACAAGGCATCTATTGTTAAAATGTCCCTTGCTCACCAATACATTCTACAAGTTGATTTTATTGTTGAGTAGATTTTCATTGAATTAACTACGGTTCAATGTTACCGCAAGAAAACGACCAGCAAAATCCATGCCCCCTTTCAATCAACAGTGGGTTTTCCCAAAATGACTTAGACTCTTTTAAGGACAGGGATTTGTCCAGTTTGGAAAGTTAGATCAGTTGGATAGACAGTTTTTCAAAAAACGCAAAGGTTGCATCTTGATTACTGTACTGGCTTACCACATTTTTAAGGTGAATTAGCTGAACGAAGAACATACTAATATGTACATCTTCGCATGTTGTTTGTTGCATTCTTGAAATGTTGGACTCCAGTCTTCTGTCATCATGAACAGCTCATAGCCTACAGGTTCTATGGTGTAATGGTTAGCACTCAGGACTCTGAATCCTGCGATCCGAGTTCAAATCTCGGTAGGACCGTTTAACTGTTCGCATTCGAAGTCCAGGACTGGTTGGTTTTATTCCTTGGCAAGCAGAAGCTGATACATCTTAGAAACTCTTTTTACTTATCTCAAACAAGTGCTAACTGTCACTACGGCCAGTCATTTCGAATTCTTTCATCAGGTCTGGCCGGTTAGCTCAGTTGGTCAGAGCGTCGTGCTAATAACGCGAAGGTCGCGGGTTCGATGCCCGTACTGGCCATCAGTGTTTTTCCATCTAATAGCTTCGTTCAAATCAACACAGATGCATTAACATTCCCGCTCAGAATGACTTAACGTCAAATGTTTTTGTGTCCCTCAGCATTACATTGAAAAGTTTCTGAGCACATTGAACAGGTTCTGAGCACATTGAACAAATTAGATGCACAGATAATTAAAAATCTCTTTACATGTAAAATAAACAATTCATTATATCAAAAACGGTCAACATCATCTACACATTATAGTTTCCGTTTATGGCTGGATATTGTAACCGAAATCAAATCAACACAGATGCATTAACATTCCGCTCAGAATGACTTAACGTCAAATGTTTTTGTGTTCAGCATTACATTGAAAAGTTTCTGAGCACATTGAACAGGTTCTGAGCACATTGAACAGGTTTGGAACACCTCATTTTTTAAATGTCAATTCAATGAAAATGCAAACACTATTCATGTCATTCAAAGGCGATGACTATGCCGAACAATCATTTAACAGCGTCCTTACCAAAAAGTTCTATACTCGTTTTGAATCTTGAGGCATTTTAACCAATGGCCATTGGATGCACCTGGCTCCAGAGGCTGAACTTCACAGCAGAAAGCCTGGACCAAGAAATATGTGGACTTTCATTCACAGTTAGCGCGAACACAGATTTTGTCAGATGTTCAGAAATGGACAAGGCATCTATTGTTAAAATGTCCCTTGCTCACCAATACATTCTACAAGTTGATTTTATTGTTGAGTAGATTTTCATTGAATAAACTACGGTTCAATGTTTCCGCAAGAAAACGACCAGCAAAATCCATGCCCCCTTTCAATCAACAGTGGGTTTTCCCAAAATGACTTAGACTCTTTTAAGGACAGGGATTTGTCCAGTTTGGAAAGTTAGATCAGTTGGTTAGACAGTATTTCAAAAACGCAATGGTTGCATCATGATTACTGTACTAGCTTACCACATTTTTAAGGTGAATTAGCTGAACGAAGAACATACTAATATGTACATCTTCGCATGTTGTTTGTTGCATTCTTGAAATGTTGGACTCCAGTCTTCTGTCATCATGTACAGCTCTATGGTGTAATAAGAAACAGGTTCTATGGTGTAATGGTTAGCACTCAGGACTCTGAATCCTGCGATCCGAGTTCAAATCTCGGTAGGACCTTCTAACTGTTCGCATTCGAAGTCCAGGACTGGTTGGTTTTATTCCTTGGCAAGCAGAAGCTGATACATCTTAGAAACTCTTTTTACTTATCTCAAACAAGTGCTAACTGTCACTACGGCCAGTCATTTCGAATTCTTTCATCAGGTCTGGCCGGTTAGCTCAGTTGGTCAGAGCGTCGTGCTAATAACGCGAAGGTCGCGGGTTCGATGCCCGTACTGGCCATCAGTGTTTTTCCATCTAATAGCTTCGTTCAAATCAACACAGATGCATTAACATCCCGCTCAGAATGACTTAACGTCAAATATTTTTGTGTCCCTCAGCATTACATTGAAAAGTTTCTGAGCACATTGAACAGGTTCTGAGCACATTGAACAAATCAACATAGATGCACAGATAATTAAAAATCTCTTTACATGTAAAATAAACAATTCATTATATCAAAAACGGTCAACATCATCTACACATTATAGTTTCCGTTTATGGCTGGATAGGTCCGTCCCTCCGTAACCAAATCAAATCAACACAGATGCATTAACATTCCCGCTCAGAATGACTTAACGTCAAATGTTTTTGTGTCCCTCAGCATTACATTGAAAAGTTTCTGAGCACATTGAACAGGTTCTGAGCACATTGAACAGGTTTGGAACACCTCATTTTTTAAATGTCAATTCAATGAAAATGCAAACACTATTCATGTCATTCAAAGGCGATGACTATGCCGAACAATCATTTAACAGCGTCCTTACCAAAAAGTTCTATACTCGTTTTGAATCTTGAGGCATTTTAACCAATGGCCATTGGATGCACCTGGCTCCAGAGGCTGAACTTCACAGCAGAAAGCCTGGACCAAGAAATATGTGGACTTTCATTCACAGTTAGCGCGAACACAGATTTTGTCAGATGTTCAAAAATGGACAAGGCATCTATTGTTAAAATGTCCCTTGCTCACCAATACATTCTACAAGTTGATTTTATTGTTGAGTAGATTTTCATTGAATTAACTACGGTTCAATGTTACCGCAAGAAAACGACCAGCAAAATCCATGCCCCCTTTCAATCAACAGTGGGTTTTCCCAAAATGACTTAGACTCTTTTAAGGACAGGGATTTGTCCAGTTTGGAAAGTTAGATCAGTTGGATAGACAGTTTTTCAAAAAACGCAAAGGTTGCATCTTGATTACTGTACTGGCTTACCACATTTTTAAGGTGAATTAGCTGAACGAAGAACATACTAATATGTACATCTTCGCATGTTGTTTGTTGCATTCTTGAAATGTTGGACTCCAGTCTTCTGTCATCATGAACAGCTCATAGCCTACAGGTTCTATGGTGTAATGGTTAGCACTCAGGACTCTGAATCCTCTGAGCACATTGAACAAATCAACTGGATGCAAGAAATATGTGGACTTTCATTAAAATAAACAATTCATTAGTTAATGCATCTGTGTTAATACTGCATTATGTTAATTTGAATCCTGCGATCAGTTCAAATCTCGGTAGGACCTTCTAACTGTTCGCATTCGAAGTCCAGGACTGGTTGGTTTTATTCCTTGGCAAGCAGAAGCTGATACATCTTAGAAACTCTTTTACTTATCTCAAACAAGTGCTAACTGTCACTACGGCCAGTCATTTCAAATTCTTTCATCAGGTCTGGCCGGTTAGCTCAGTTGGTCAGAGCGTCGTGCTAATAACGTGAAGGTCGCGGGTTCGATGCCCGTACTGGCCATCAGTGTTTTTCCATCTAATAGCTTCGTTCAAATCAACACAGATGCATTAACATTCCCGCTCAGAATGACTTAACGTCAAATGTTTTTGTGTCCCTCAGCATTACATTGAAAAGTTTCTGAGCACATTGAACAGGTTCTGAGCACATTGAACAAATCACATTGAACATGGTTTGGAACACCATTATAGTTTCATGGCTTTTTTAATCAAATGTCAATTTCAATGAAAATGCAAACACTATTCATTCATTCATTGAAAGGTTTGGAACACCTCATTTTTTAAATGTCAATTCAATGAAAATGCAAACACTATTCATGTCATTCAAAGGCGATGACTATGCCGAACAATCATTTAACAGCGTCCTTACCAAAAAGTTCTATACTCGTTTTGAATCTTGAGGCATTTTAACCAATGGCCATTGGATGCACCTGGCTCCAGAGGCTGAACTTCACAGCAGAAAGCCTGGACCAAGAAATATGTGGACTTTCATTCACAGTTAGCGCGAACACAGATTTTGTCAGATGTTCAAAAATGGACAAGGCATCTATTGTTAAAATGTCCCTTGCTCACCAATACATTCTACAAGTTGATTTTATTGTTGAGTAGATTTTCATTGAATTAACTACGGTTCAATGTTACCGCAAGAAAACGACCAGCAAAATCCATGCCCCCTTTCAATCAACAGTGGGTTTTCCCAAAATGACTTAGACTCTTTTAAGGACAGGGATTTGTCCAGTTTGGAAAGTTAGATCAGTTGGATAGACAGTTTTTCAAAAAACGCAAAGGTTGCATCTTGATTACTGTACTGGCTTACCACATTTTTAAGGTGAATTAGCTGAACGAAGAACATACTAATCATCTTCGCATGTTGTTTGTTGCATTCTTGAAATGTTGGACTCCAGTCTTCTGTCATCATGAACAGCTCATAGCCTACAGGTTCTATGGTGTAATGGTTAGCACTCAGGACTCTGAATCCTGCGATCCGAGTTCAAATCTCGGTAGGACCGTTTAACTGTTCGCATTCGAAGTCCAGGACTGGTTGGTTTTATTCCTTGGCAGGCAGAAGCTGATACATCTTAGAAACTCTCTTTACGCATCTCAAACAAGTGCTAACTGTCACTACGGCCAGTCATTTCGAATTCTTTTCAGGTCTCGGGCTCAGTTGGTGGCTCGGTTAGCTCAGTTGGTCAGAGCGTCGTGCTAATAATGCGAAGGTCGCGGGTTCGATGCCCGTACTGGCCATCAGTGTTTTTCCATCTAATAGCTTCGTTCAAATCAACACAGATGCATTAACATTCCTGCTCAGAATGACTTTAACGTCAAATATTTTTGTGTCCCTCAGCATTACATTGAAAAGTTTCTGAGCACATTGAAAGGCCAGCATTACATTGAAAAGTTTCTGAGCACATTGAACAGGTTCTGAGCACATTGAACAAATCATAGATGCACAGATAATTAAAAATCTCTTTACATGTAAAATAAACAATTCATTATATCAAAAACGGTCAACATCATCTACACATTATAGTTTCCGTTTATGGCTGGATAGGTCCGTCCCTCCGTAGCTTCGAAATCAAATCAACACAGATGCATTAACATTCCCCCTCAGAATGACTTAACGTCAAATGTTTTTGTGTCCCTCAGCATTACATTGAAAAGTTTCTGAGCACATTGAACAGGTTCTGAGCACATTGAACAGGTTTGGAACACCTCATTTTTTAAATGTCAATTCAATGAAAATGCAAACACTATTCATGTCATTCAAAGGCGATGACTATGCCGAACAATCATTTAACAGCGTCCTTACCAAAAAGTTCTATACTCGTTTTGAATCTTGAGGCATTTTAACCAATGGCCATTGGATGCACCTGGCTCCAGAGGCTGAACTTCACAGCAGAAAGCCTGGACCAAGAAATATGTGGACTTTCATTCACAGTTAGCGCGAACACAGATTTTGTCAGATGTTCAAAAATGGACAAGGCATCTATTGTTAAAATGTCCCTTGCTCACCAATACATTCTACAAGTTGATTTTATTGTTGAGTAGATTTTCATTGAATAAACTACGGTTCAATGTTACCGCAAGAAAACGACCAGCAAAATCCATGCCCCCTTTCAATCAACAGTGGGTTTTCCCAAAATGACTTAGACTCTTTTAAGGACAGGGATTTGTCCAGTTTGGAAAGTTAGATCAGTTGGATAGACAGTTTTTCAAAAAACGCAAAGGTTGCATCTTGATTACTGTACTGGCTTACCACATTTTTAAGGTGAATTAGCTGAACGAAGAACATACTAATATGTACATCTTCGCATGTTGTTTGTTGCATTCTTGAAATGTTGGACTCCAGTCTTCTGTCATCATGAACAGCTCATAGCCTACAGGTTCTATGGTGTAATGGTTAGCACTCAGGACTCTGAATCCTGCGATCCGAGTTCAAATCTCGGTAGGACCTTTTAACTGTTCGCATTCGAAGTCCAGGACTGGTTGGTTTTATTCCTTGGCAAGCAGAAGCTGATACATCTTAGAAACTCTTTTACTTATCTCAAACAAGTGCTAACTGTCACTACGGCCAGTCATTTCGAATTCTTTCATCAGGTCTGGCCGGTTAGCTCAGTTGGTCAGAGCGTCGTGCTAATAACGCGAAGGTCGCGGGTTCGATGCCCGTACTGGCCATCAGTGTTTTTCCATTAATAGCTTCGTTCAAATCAACACAGATGCATTAACATTCCTGCTCAGAATGACTTAACACAGCATTACATTAAAAGTTTCTGAGCACATTGAACAGGTTCTGAGCACATTGAACAAATCAACATAGATGCACAGATAATTAAAAATCTCTTTACTTAACAATTCATTATACGTCAAATGTTTTTGTGTCCCCAGCATTACATTGAAAATGCATTTTCTCAGAAGACTTAACATTGTCCCTCAGCATTACATTGAAAAGTTTCTGAGCACATTGAACAGGTTTGCACATTGAACAGGTTTGGAACCTCATTTTTTAAATGTCAATTCAATGAAAATGCAAACACTATTCATGTCATTCAAAGGCGATGACTATGCCGAACAATCATTTAACAGCGTCCTTACCAAAAAGTTCTATACTCGTTTTGAATCTTGAGGCATTTTAACCAATGGCCATTGGATGCACCTGGCTCCAGAGGCTGAACTTTCAGCAGCAAAGCCTGGACCAAGAAATATGTGGACTTTCATTCACAGTTAGCGCGAACACAGATTTTGTCAGATGTTCAAAAATGGACAAGGCATCTATTGTTAAAATGTCCCTTGCTCACCAATACATTCTACAAGTTGATTTTATTGTTGAGTAGATTTTCATTGAATTAACTACGGTTCAATGTTACCGCAAGAAAACGACCAGCAAAATCCATGCCCCCTTTCAATCAACAGTGGGTTTTCCCAAAATGACTTAGACTCTTTTAAGGACAGGGATTTGTCCAGTTTGGAAAGTTAGATCAGTTGGATAGACAGTTTTTCAAAAAACGCAAAGGTTGCATCTTGATTACTGTACTGGCTTACCACATTTTTAAGGTGAATTAGCTGAACGAAGAACATACTAATATGTACATCTTCGCATGTTGTTTGTTGCATTCTTGAAATGTTGGACTCCAGTCTTCTGTCATCATGTACAGCTCATAGCAAAGCCTGCAGGTTCTATGGTGTAATGGTTAGCACTCAGGACTCTGAATCCTGCGATCCGAGTTCAAATCTCGGTAGGACCTTTTAACTGTTCGCATTCGAAGTCCAGGACTGGTTGGTTTTATTCGAAGTCCAGGACTTGGCTTGGCAGAAGCTGATGATACATCTTAGAAACTCTTTTACTTATCTCAAACAAGTGCTAACTGTCACTACGGCCAGTCATTTCGAATTCTTTCATCAGGTCTGGCCGGTTAGCTCAGTTGGTCAGAGCGTCGTGCTAATAACGCGAAGGTCGCGGGTTCGATGCCCGTACTGGCCATCAGTGTTTTTCCATCTAATAGCTTCGTTCAAATCAACACAGATGCATTAACATTCCTGCTCAGAATGACTTAACGTCAAATATTTTTTTTCAGCATTACATTGTCCCTCAGCATTACATTGAAAGTTTCTGAGCACATTGAACAGGTTCTGAGCACATTGAACAAATCAACATAGATGCACAGATAATTAAAAATCTCTTTACATGTAAAATAAAAATTCATTAAACAATCAAAAACGGTCAACATCATCTACACATTATAGTTTCCGTTTATGGCTGGATAGGTCCGTCCCTCCGTAACCGAAATCAAATCAACACAGATGCATTAACATTCCCGCTCAGAATGACTTAACGTCAAATGTTTTTGTTTTTGTGTCCCTCAGCATTACATTGAAAAGTTTCTGAGCACATTGAACAGGTTCTGAGCACATTGAACAGGTTTGGAACACCTCATTTTTTAAATGTCAATTCAATGAAAATGCAAACACTATTCATGTCATTCAAAGGCGATGACTATGCCGAACAATCATTTAACAGCGTCCTTACCAAAAAGTTCTATACTCGTTTTGAATCTTGAGGCATTTTAACCAATGGCCATTGGATGCACCTGGCTCCAGAGGCTGAACTTCACAGCAGAAAGCCTGGACCAAGAAATATGTGGACTTTCATTCACAGTTAGCGCGAACACAGATTTTGTCAGATGTTCAGAAATGGACAAGGCATCTATTGTTAAAATGTCCCTTGCTCACCAATACATTCTACAAGTTGATTTTATTGTTGAGTAGATTTTCATTGAATAAACTACGGTTCAATGTTTCCGCAAGAAAACGACCAGCAAAATCCATGCCCCCTTTCAATCAACAGTGGGTTTTCCCAAAATGACTTAGACTCTTTTAAGGACAGGGATTTGTCCAGTTTGGAAAGTTAGATCAGTTGGTTAGACAGTATTTCAAAAAACGCAATGGTTGCATCATGATTACTGTACTAGCTTACCACATTTTTAAGGTGAATTAGCTGAACGAAGAACATACTAATATGTACATCTTCGCATGTTGTTTGTTGCATTCTTGAAATGTTGGACTCCAGTCTTCTGTCATCATGTACAGCTCCTAAGAAACAGGTTCTATGGTGTAATGGTTAGCACTCAGGACTCTGAATCCTGCGATCCGAGTTCAAATCTCGGTAGGACCTTCTAACTGTTCGCATTCGAAGTCCAGGACTGGTTGGTTTTATTCCTTGGCAAGCAGAAGCTGATACATCTTAGAAACTCTTTTACTTATCTCAAACAAGTGCTAACTGTCACTACGGCCAGTCATTTCGAATTCTTTCATCAGGTCTGGCCGGTTGGCCGGTTAGTCAGAGCGTCGTGCTAATAACGCGAAGGTCGCGGGTTCGATGCCCGTACTGGCCATCAGTGTTTTTCCATCTAATAGCTTCGTTCAAATCAACACAGATGCATTAACATTCCTGCTCAGAATGACTTAACGTCAAATATTTTTGTGTCCCTCAGCATTACATTGAAAAGTTTCTGAGCACATTGAACAGGTTCTGAGCACATTGAACAAATCAACATAGATGCACAGATAATTAAAAATCTCTTTACATGTAAAATAAACAATTCATTATATCAAAAACGGTCAACATCATCTACACATTATAGTTTCCGTTTATGGCTGGTTTAGGTTTCCGTCAACATCATCTACACATTATAGTTTCCGTTTATGGCTGGAATCGTAACCGAAATCAAATCAACACAGATGCATTAACATTCCCGCTCAGAATGACTTAACGTCAAATGTTTTTGTGTCCCTCAGCATTACATTGAAAAGTTTCTGAGCACATTGAACAGGTTCTGAGCACATTGAACAGGTTTGGAACACCTCATTTTTTAAATGTCAATTCAATGAAAATGCAAACACTATTCATGTCATTCAAAGGCGATGACTATGCCGAACAATCATTTAACAGCGTCAATCATTTAACAGCGTCACTTACCAAAAAGTTCTATACTCGTTTTGAATCTTGAGGCATTTTAACCAATGGCCATTGGATGCACCTGGCTCCAGAGGCTGAACTTCACAGCAGAAAGCCTGGACCAAGAAATATGTGGACTTTCATTCACAGTTAGCGCGAACACAGATTTTGTCAGATGTTCAGAAATGGACAAGGCATCTATTGTTAAAATGTCCCTTGCTCACCAATACATTCTACAAGTTGATTTTATTGTTGAGTAGATTTTCATTGAATAAACTACGGTTCAATGTTT